CATGGACACTCTTTGACCATACTGTGCTCCTCAACTCTTTTCACTGTCCTTTCTCTCAGTGCCTCTCCTTTTACAAATTCCTACATGGGCCGATGGAAGTAGCAGCAAATCAATCTTGCTCAGCACATTGTCAGCCCAGGCTCCTGGTGTCCCCAAGACATCCCTTACGTGACGGCATGCAGCAGTGGGCTGAAGGGCCGAGGTGCAGGGTGATGGGGGCTGCTGTGCCCTCAGGTGTGTGAACGCCCTCTCAAAATAATACAGAGCATGCTACTAAATTGAATTTTTTTCCCCTTAATTAGTCTGCTTGAATTTAAGCAAAGCTACTGTGCTACTTTTCCAGTCTTCCCATCTCTGTGCTGTAGGCTTTGGAAAGGCTGGCTCGTAATTTAGAGCACGCCAGCTACAGACTCCAGTAGGTTTATTGCTTGTAATAATATACAGCTTTGGCTTCACTTTGTGAGGCCATTGCTCTCCCTCAGAGACAGAATGCTACACTGAACATGTAAGTATTTTTAGCAGTGCTGTTCTCCTTCTCCAGTAAAGCCATAAAAACCAAGGACACAGACATCTGAAGCATCTTTTCACAGCTTTGGATAATTTAGCATCGGCCACAACCCCATGGTTTGCAGCGTGCACCAGCCCAGAGAATGGCAACAGCAAACAACAGCCTGTGCTGCGAGCACAAGCACCAGTCATGCTCTCTCCTGCATAACTTATAGAATCATGGAATATCCTCAGTTGGAAAGGACCCACAAGGATCACCAAGGCAAACTCTATGTATGAGAGCCGTGTCCAAACGCTCCTTGAGATCGGGCAGTTTGGAGATGGAGACTGCCATGAGGCCTCCCCTCTGCATCCTCTGGGACAGAAAGCAGCTTGCTGGGTTACTGGGATGGCCATGGCCTCAGGCATCATTCGCTAGGAGCTCTGACAGCCCCTCCAGCACCAAACAGGACAGGGATTTTGCTTGTGGAAGCTTGCCAGGCTTCAGAAGGCACTCTTAGTATCTCCTGGCTGAGGAACTGAGAGCAATGTTCTAGCAGCTTAGCGATGATTCAAATTTTCCTTTGAAGTGCCAATGAGATTAAAATAAAAGACTTTATTATTTTTTTTTTTTTAATCTTCAGATCACCAGAAAAATCAGGCTTAATTCTGGTGGGAAACGGGAACAAAACTGCCTCTGTGTTGACCACAGCACAGCACTGTCACATGAAGTGCAAAGAGGTGACGTGGTGAAACTGAGAGCGCTTCAGATTCAGCGTTGCAGTTCCTCTTCTTGGCTGTGCTGGGGACCAAGAGCTGGTGTGAGGCTTGTCCTGCTCATCCTCTTGCCTCCCAGCAGATCAGTGACCACAAAGCTCTCAGTGCCTCACACTGCTCTAGCGTGCCATTCAGTGGATTGGAAGGGACTTGGGATCAAGGTCACGTTCCAGTATGGGATGGAGCATTCTGGAGGTGGGAACTCACCTTATCTAGCTTTGGTGTGGAATAATGCAAGTACGAGAGAAGGTCATGAGATAGGACCAGCAGTGGAAACAATAGATTGGTTTCTTTAGCCCTTTGTTCTGAGCTCAGCTTTAGCCATCCAAGCTCTGACAAAAGTAGAGATATGACATCAAAGGCACCCCGCTATGGGGAGTGGGGTGAGGGAGCTGAGATGAGTAGTCTGGAGAAAAGAAGGCTTGGAGGAGACCTCATTGCTCTCTGCAACTCCTTGGGAGGAGGTTGTGACAAAACAGGTCAACTGGGTTACAGCAATAGGATGAGAGGTGATGACCTTAAGCTGTGCCAGCTTTAGGGTGAATATTAGGAAAGACTTCTCTGAAGGAGCACCGAGGCACCAGAATGGGCTGTCCAGGGAGGTGGTGGAGTTGCCACCTCTGGAGGTGTTCCAGAACAGTGGAGATGTGGCACTGAGGGACGTGGTTTAGTGGGCAATATTGGTGGTAGGTCAATGGATGGACCTGATGGTCTTAGAGGTCTTTTCTAACTTTAACGACTCTATGATACTATGATGGATACTATGAAAGCTGTAGTGCTATCAATAGCTTTGGGCCAAGGAACGAGAGGAAGCTTCTTCTGAGATTGAAGTCTGAAATATGTTTGTAAGGAAGTTGGAAATCATTTCCCCAACACATTTTTAGTTTTTTTTCTTGTGGAAGGGAAGTCTTTTTTATATGACCTTGCCTGAACAGCCTCTGGTCCTTGCCTCTGGGTCAGTCGTGTGGTTGACCCAGGAGTGCTCTATTTCCCACAGACTCTGCTTGAACGTGCAGTGCACTTCCAGGTCTTGCACGGTGGTGTAAAGTTCAGCTGAGGATCACTCTGTTTAGCTCTGCTGCAGGCTCATAATCCCAGTGGGTCAAAATGTTTAGAGTTGAAGAGGTTACGGGCTTTTCTGAGGAGTATTTAAACTCCATCTGTCAAACCACTTGGATAAAAGAAATTTATAGACTCTGCCAGCAGTATATTAAGTTAGCTGTTAGCTGTTTCCTTGTCTTTGGTTTGGTGAAATGTATTGTTTTCATGTCGCCCTAAGAAAATAACTAAACCATGGCAAATTTATGGCTACAAAAATTACGAAACCTAGATTGACAGAAAAACAGTACCAGTGAAGAAATGGAATTCAAGGAACCACATGTGGGTGAGAGGCATGTGAAGAAACCTCTTGGCAAGGCCATCGGAACAACTCGGGGGCCTGATCTTCTCAGAAAGCCATCTGAGAGACTCGAGACCTGCTTCATCTTCAACTTAACTGCACCCAAAATCCACACAAGCAGCTTGCACACTAAAAGAAGAATCACAGAAAATGAGACAAGACTTTTTTTCTCAAGGTCCAAACAACAAGACTGAAAATGGGGAAGTTTGGTACTTCACTTCTGCAGAAAACACTTAATGTCGCTCCCTGACCATTGTTTGGTACTTCAGTATAAAATACAGATGCAAGTCTGATAAATCAAAGGCTTCACAGGTTGCTTTCTTTCCATTTACAAGAGAAATGGCAGTGCAGGGCCACGTGATGTCATCTAGGCAACTGTGAGACCACTTCAGTTCCTCCTGGCACTTTGAAGAAGGTCAGTGTTTGACCAGGGACCGTGTAAGTGAGGCTGTGTCTCGAGCAATGTCAGCTCTAGGACACGATAAGCACTGCTCGAGTGCCTGTCACTGCAACACCCCAGCCAAGATAGCTTTTCTACTCTCTACTGTTCTGATAAAACAAATATTTCCATTGACTGAGTGCTGTTTCCCCACTGCAGCCCCTTCTCCCTCCCCCTGCTATTGCCTGGGCATCTCCCACGCCCCCCAGAACAACAGCCTAAGCTCATTTCAGTGTGGCAGCAAGGCAGCAGCACTTCATAGCACTTTATGTGAGCATAGGAATTGCAGGCCAGCTGGTGAGGGGCAGCCATGTTACCTAGTTCTTTCTCTTCCAGCTTCCACATAAGGTGTCCTTTTCCTCAGCTGCTAAATAAATTCAACACAATTCCAAGATCTTTACCCATCACATAAAAGGAAGGTGTTTACTGGGGTGATAAACAACCAACCCGATGCCTCCATCAGGTAGGACTAAAAAGGACAAGAAACCACAGAACCACAAACTCGTTGAGATTGTCAAGGACCTCTGGAAGTACTCTGAAATGCCTAAATATTACAAGTAGAGCTGAACACAGTATAAATACCCAGCTAAATCAGGCTTGAAACCACTGCTTAGAAATGCATGACAGCACAAACAGTACTGCTTGCTATTTGTTTTGGTAGGAGGACTGGTGTCAATGTGGTTGTTGCACAGGGAGTGAGAAAGCAGACACACTCTTACAGCCCCCAAATTTGGGCTGAGTTAGGAATATAGTTTAAGGGCCATTGTGGTTTAGGAGCTAGTAGCTCAGGGCTCCTCCGGCTGCATGGTTGTCCCACAAGGAGAGCCCATGGGACTCTGGAAGCATTTTCCTGGTTTAACAGGCATGGTACAAGCAGCATGCTGAATGCAGTCTGCACACGTATTAGCAAATGGGAAAAGAAAGAAGCAAGCTGCAGAAGTCTGCCTGCGAGAGCACAAACCAGAGAATCGGCTGCTCCAGCCTCTCTGCACACCACTTGCCCAGCCATGCATTGTGCATCCAGCTCTCAAAAACCACACACGGATATCACTGGGAATCCACATCCTCCACAGCACCCAGGATGTGAGTAATGCTGCATTTTGCTGCAGGTGAAGGACTGAGACCTGCTTGCAGGGATCTTCCTCAGCCCTTTGCAGTCTGCAGCTTCCAGATGGAATTGCTGTCTGCCTTATGTGCAGCCCCTTCCCACCCACACACATTCCTTTCCAGCAATGCTGCTTTCTTTGGCTTATCATTCTTATCTTTTTCTCAAACTGACTTAATTGGTGCCTTTAACTCTTGATGTTGTTTGTTGGTCCCTCTGATATCCCTTGTTTATTCTAAGAGCAGTCATAGCCTAAAGCATTACATTTCAAAGTAGCATCCAAACTGAGGAAGGTCTTTGCAGTTGCAGTGTGATCATTTTGGCTCCGTGAGCTCACCCACAACCCATAAAGCACAAGGCATGACAAGATGGGCTGCACTTTACCAGCTGCAGAGCTGTCTGAGTCCAAGTGACACACAGCCGAGGTTCTCCCAGGAAGGACAAATCTGGTTTTAGTAATCTTCTTTGAGACAAAGAAGCTGCATCCTCCTAGCAGTCTGCTCCCACTGCAGTTACTGCTCTCTGTGCTCTCAGTGTGGTTGGCTCAGCTCACCATGCACACTACACCCACTCTGTTGTACAAGAGCAGCTCACCTGTCCCTGCAACAAACACTTGTGTCATGGCCACACCATGGGCCAAACCCCGACACGAAGCAGACGGGTGGTGCTTTTAACACATTAGCATCTTCTACCAGGGGAAATGCTGGAGTATTTTTAGCATGGCTCCAGTGTTGGTCTCTGCACTGTTTTGGCCTTTTTTGGAATTTTTAACTCTGGAAACAAATACGTTACCCTTTACAATAAACAACACCTACTTGCTTTTATTGTACAATACAAAGAGGACTATAGGCTGTACTCCTGAAGACAATAAGGGAGAAAAATAAAGCAGTTCCTTTTGACACAGCTTTCCCCATTCTTGACACCAGGCAGCTCTCTTACTGCTTCCCTCATCTCACCTGTCCCACTTACAAACTGAGCTTTGACTTCACTGCAAAATTCCAACCTGAGTTGTTGCTCAGTTCCTTGTTTGATGTGATGCATGTGGGCTCCGTAAGAGGTCAGAGCAGCACCCTTGCCAACTGCATCCCGTGCAGCTGCTCTGCACACACTCCACAAAATGCATTTCCCAAGGAAGGTCAGAGGGGGAAGCATCTGATGATGGTACATTTGGTTTCATCCCATGCAAATCCCATCACAGCACGGTACTGTCTGTCACGCTGTGCTGTGGGGAGAGCCCAGTGACACAGAGCGAGGAGGAGCGAGTCCAGAGAGCGAGGAGGAGATGGAGTCTTAGCAAAACACAACAACAAGAAGTGACACAAGGCGAGTCTGAAGACTGAAAGGCGATTGCATGCAGTGAGGGAGGGCTGCTCCTCCTCTCTTCTTCCCATTTCATTTCAAATCGTAGCTCCTTCCTCCTCTGGTCCCCATGGGAAACAGGGTTCCTGGGACATGAACGGTGGGAGAGGCTCCTGTGGCCATCAAAGGAGAATGAAGTCCATCAGCTGCCACCAGCTAAGGGAGTGGAGAACAAGTTGCGTCCGTACCAGTTCTTCTTTTCCTCCTCTTCAGAGCCCACGGCCACTGCTTCTGGAGTGGGGGAGGAGATGGGGCACGGGGCAGTGGGACTCATCTCTCGGGCAGCAACACGAAGAAGACGGCCTTGAGGAAGTGCCCAAAGCTGCAGATGGCGGCCACGAGCCAGTGGGAGCGGAGACTGGGATCGGTGCTCACCACACACTTGGTGATGTCTGCCTGAGGAGGGGGAGCAGAGGTCAGCGGCCATGCCCAGACCCACCCGGCCACTGCGTACCTCAAAACAAGCCACGCCTGGGAAAAGGAATGCTACAGAAAGATCAGCAAGCATTTCCATTTTCAACAGCAAAATAAAAGAAACTTTCCTCCCTTTCCCAGGAGAAGCCTTGGCAACAACAGCCTTCCCATCCCTTTCTGCAAAGCACGATGCTTCCCTGAGGTTGTCCTGTTTAATATCAGCTCAAGTTGCTTGCACTTTTTCTCTTGCCTTAATGTTTTATTTGGAGCTTGTTCAAGGAAGTAAATCCATGATTTAAATCGCTAGCAATGCAAGCTTTGTTTGTGGGAATGTGTCTGCTGGCTGCGGTGCTGCCCGGCACATGGGCCAAGAGGTATGGATTGCTGGGCAGCCACTGTCAGGTATTGACAGGAATGGCAGCCAGCGATGAACAGAAATAACAATGCAGTGAATTCATGGAGATCTGATCTCGGCTGGGACGGGGAGGAGAGAGCAGAAAATATCTGGAGGGTAAAGCGAACAGGACAGAAGCGGATAGAAAATAACATCTTCTGGGAGGGGTAAGCAAATTTTCATTCGCTTACCTGCAATTTTGCCTGCAAAATTTGTGTTGTGGTTAAACATCAGCCAAGCACAAGGAACTATGGGCTGCAGCTCTGTGACACAGCGCGCACTGTTACCGTATCAGTTTGATGAGGTTTTCAGAAATACCAGGGACTGTAGGGTGGCAAAAGTGAACCAAAACTGAGAGACAAGGAGGGTAAATATCCATTGGCCTCACAGCTTTCTCTTTACACCATGGCTTGGCAAACAGCCCTTCTCTGACTGGAGTACTGTGTCCAGACCTGAGGCCCCAGAAGAAGACAGATACAGAGTTTGGATGTTTAATGGATGCTAAAGAAGGTCCAGAGGAGGGCCATAAAAACAATCAGAGGGCTGGAACACCTTTCCTATGAAGACAGGCTGAAGGAGCTGGGCTTGTTAAGTTTGGAGAAGAGAAGGCTATGGGGAGACCTCATTGTGGCCTTTCAGTGGTTGAAGGAAGCATAAAAGCAGGAGTGAGCTTTTTGCACAATCTGATTTCAATAAGACAAGGGGGAACGGTTTTAAACTAAGAGAGGGGAGACTTAGGTCAGATGTTAGGAAAAAATTATTTACTCAGAGGATGGTGAGACCCTGGCACTGTTCCCCAGAGTAAAATCCCTTCCAACTCAAATCATTCTGTGATCTTATGACTGAGAAGAGTGCAGCCCTCCTTGAAGAGAGGAATAAGGATCACTGAACATCCCAATAATCTTTTCCAGTGTTCCCACCTGCATTCAAGATGCCAGTGAGACACACTTGAGCAATCTTGGCAATAGTTAGAAGAAAACAAGAGGGTGGACACAGGGACAAAGCAAATACAGCTTTGTTAACTGATGCCAAGATCATGCTGCTTTGGGGTCTCTGAGCTCATACACACTAGGCAAGCAGAGACGGCTTGAGTAGGGAGGAGTGGAAAGCAGCAGGAAGCCTGATCAGTGCATGGGGAATTCCTGGGGTGAACAGCAAGGTAGAGAAATGCTGCAGCTGTAAAAGTCTTGACACTCAGTGCCAGCAGAGCCCACGGCTCCCTGTGTGCCAGAGCCTCACCATAATCAGTGCTGGGTGAATGCACCTGGTGAGCAGCAGCAACAGAGATGGCTGATCTGAGATGAGCATCACCTGCTCTGTGCTGATGCAATGAGCACTCTAATGTGGCCAGCTGAGAGGAGCCGTGCTCAGCAGCACCTTGAGACTGGTACTGCGCTCACTTAGATAAACACAACTGCTCAGCTGTTGAACAATTGCCTTGGTTATTGTAATCCAAACAAAGCGTACCAGATAAGGCACTGAAACTGAACATTTCAAAGCTGCTTAATTAAATAGGCCTTTGTGAGGCACTGATAAGCTGCTACAGTGACAGTTTGATCTCTGCCTGTTATTTATTCATTGAACAAGATCTGGTCTCAAGCTCTTCTGTGGAGCAAACATCCATAACACCTGCTAAAAAAGCTTTCTACTCCCCTGCAAAGCCACTGCTGAGGCTGCGAACAGTCCTTGGGCAGAGATGGTATCCCCAAGAGTTAAATGTTTTTTCTTCCTGCTACAAGTGTTGGGCTTGTAAGGTGTTGAACCATGGCAGTTAGAGGCTTTCTCCACCCTATAAAATATGGGACTGGGGGGCCATAATAGACCATATGGGCCCCTACTGCTGAGCAGAGGCTCTCCCAGCACAGCCCGGAGCACAGAGGTTCCTCTTGGCAGCCCAGGCAGGTGTGTGGTGGGGCCATGTGCACAGAGGAAAGGCGGACACCAGGCCAAGACAAACCAATGGCAGTGAGGTCAGGCACCAGATGAAAGGGACTCCAGCACAGAGCTTGGCCCTTCTGGGAACAGGGCTGAGAAATGTCACGCTGCAGTGCCTAGCTGAGAGGAACAACATTCAGGAAAACACAGCACAAAGGCACAGGGATGAGGAGACTTCCCCTCAGCTGAAGGAGCCACTTGTTTCTGGAGGGAAGCTATCTCCTCTGTGCAGCCCAGATAAGTGTGCTTACAACAGGAGGCAATCAGCACCAACCAGCAGCTTTCACAGCTTTCTTGTCTGATCAGGGGCTTCCCTTTCCTAGGGCCGGATCCTGAGAGCAAGCAGCACGGCTTCAGCAGCACCAGGGCAAATGCAATGGCACTTGAGTAGAAACGGCTGCACCAGGAGCAGACAAGGACAGGGCTCCTCTCCTCAACTGCTGAGAGCCCATTCTGGGCAGGGGATGGGCTCTGTGGCTTGCTTGCTATGCAGCAGACTTTCCAAAAATATCCATTTGGAACTATCAAACTCTTTGTTTTGAAGTCTAACAACACACCACAAAAATTAAAACAAGATGTTGACTTATCTGAACATACATGGTTTACCAGAACAAGGAAGCAACTTAGTTGGGAAACTAGAAGGGGGCACATTCCTGTGCAACATTCCAATTTTAAGGAAACTTTCTTTTTTTTCCCCCCCAAAGGAAAAACTTTCAGAGAAAACATTTCAACCAGCCCCACAGGTGCTCAGAATAAACCTCACTGATGGGCTGAGGTGGGGACAGGAACAGTGCTGCTTGGTGAGTTCTTTCCCAGGGCATCCTCTCCAGTACCTCAGCACAATTATTTGTGCAGACACAAAATGACACACACAAAAAAGTTGGGGCATTCAATACAATGGTTACTCTCCAGCCCAGCCAATCAGCCCACTGGCCCCAAGGTGGCAGCTTTAGAGAGAGCAGGGATGACCAAAGGTGGCAATGATTCTTAGGTGGCAAGGAATCCAAAAATCAGGACACTGCTACCTTTCCAGATGCCCCCCTTCATGCACATCACCCTGCTTCTGACTCTGCCACAGCTCAGCCATCAGCTCGAGCTCCTGGGGAGGTCACTGGTGAGGTGTCTAGCTATTTCACAGCATCTAAATAAAGCTCTTACTCCAAACTGTTCTCCATAGGAGCACTGTATTTCCCATGGGCTATAGAGAGAACCACAGAAATCAAACACTGGGTGATGGCTCCTGCTTACAGTCTGCTACTACAACTGTCTGCCTGCTCCAGAGAAATTTAGGACAGGAACAGAAGAGGCATCAGTGGGTGAGGATTGAATTAGTGCACAGGAAGCTGAAGACCAGAACAGCTGAAGCTGTTGAGGACAGGGCGAGGAGATAGTAACAGAGCTGTGAGAGCCTAGCACAGGAACAATCTCACTCAATGTTTTTCTACAACAAGATGCATTAACTGGGCTGTTTCCTAGTCTGCCCACAGGGAAGCAAGCCAGACCAGCCAGCATCTCTTACCCAGCCTCCTCGCCTCTTCAGCCACGTCACCAAGGTCTTGCGGACAAACTCTCCCAGGCAGTCCACGATGGTGTGCACCATGGCTGGCTGTGCATGACGCACACAGTCCACTGCCAGCCCTGCTGCCACGGCGTAGAGAGAGACCACCTTGCCCCATGTTATGCCTGGGAAAAGAAGAGAGGGTGCTCACACTTACATGGATCCCTCCTCCATCACAGGTGCCCACTCTGTAAGCATGAGGGTTTGAGTCTGGCTGCAGCTGTGGTCCTGCATGCTTTCCTGTGAGTGATTAAAACTGGGCATGCTTTGACCGCTGCTTAGCGCCATACGTGCAGCTTTGGAGGAAGCAGCCCAAAGACATGACCCAAAGACATAAAAACAGTGCTTTTTGGTTTTTTTTTCTAGATTAGAGGAGTCTGTTCCAAAGTGACAGACAGAGCATATAAGCAATAAGCATCTGCACAGTCCATTCTGCCACGACAAAGACCAAACGAGGGAGATAGAGCTACAGGCTCAAGACAGTTGGAGTCCTCCTGGAGTCAATCTCCAACCAGGTAACCCCACGAGCATTTCACAGCACATACCTGTCCCACCAAGGGCAGTGCAGCCAGCCATGCCAGCCAGCTATCTAACCTCCCTAAGCAGAGCTTCCTGCAAGGCTGGCCTGCCCGCAGCAAGAGCCCCATGGATGCTGTCCCAGCAGCAGCCATCTCCCTGCAGCGCTGGCAATCCATGCCCAGGCTGTGCTCTGGGCACCAGCCAGCTCCAGGGTATCCCTATATCAGCCAACACCACAGGGTGTAAATCCTCCACATTCAGGCATCACAGCTAGCAATCTCTGATGAGGCTTTTAACAGGAGCAGCAAGCTGGGAACGCAGCCCTCTGCATGCACACAGCACAGGGGTATGTGGATTTCCCTTGGCTATGCTGGGAAGTTTGCTTTACAGAGAAACTATTCAAATATCAGCCACAGGAATGGTTTGTTACGCTGACAAATATCCATTTGCTGTTCCAAAAAAGCAGTTCTTCCACTCATGACTAATGCGACATCAATATCTACAAAAGATCATTTTGCTAGGCACTGTAGCAGCAATAATAACCCACAGTAGTGTCCTGTGATGCTCTGTTCTCCATAGGAACTGTCCCCAGGATCATAGGAAGTTTATTGATAAAGTGGCTGTTATTTTTCTGGAGGTGTTCCAGAATCATGGGGATGTGGGCAGTGGGCATGGTGGGATGGGCTGGGGCTGGACCTGGGGATCTTAGGGATCTTTTCCAACCTCTGTGATTCTATGATTCTATGGTTCTAACACACAGCAAAGCAGTTTGCCATATGGACATGTTGGTCCAGCTCCAAGGAAGGACGGAGGGAAAGATCCTTTAGTTCTTGCCTTCCCCACTGATTGATGGTACTTCTTGCAGGCTATTGGATTCTAGATATTTCAGGGGGGTAAAGCCCTCCCCAGCACAGGGCCAGAGCCCTCCCCTTCACATGGATGACACAAACTGGCAGCAATGCTTGTTGAAATGATGGATGTGGAGGGCTCAGTGGTCACTTCCCATTCCCTCTTTACAGAGCACTCTATAAGGGTCAAATCAATCCCTGAGGCTGCTTCCTGGCAAACCTGAGCTGCAGGGGTAAGGGAGTAAGAAATCCCTTCCCTCACAATTCCTCCATGCCAAAGCTTCCATCACTGCTGCTGGAGGCAGGGTGGCAGCAGCTGGATGCATCTGCACCAGCTGAATGATTGAAGAGTAATTAAAGCAGAAAATTCCCTAAAATTTCTGCCCGTGGAGGTGGGACAGAAAAAAATGAGACAAGCCACTTCGAAAGTGTTTTTAAAAGTAAGAAATACAAGCTGCAGCCTCAAGGCCAGCCTTGGAGCTGGAGGTATGTAAACACTGCGAGCCCAAGGGAAAATGAATTAGCAGGAAAGAGCTGCTCTTGAATGCATTCCCACAGCATGTCAGCGAGCCCAGGGGAGCGTGTGGCCACGCAGCCCCCAGCACTGTGCTGCCCAAGCACTCAGACAAACTGCCCTCATCCCACTCGCATCCATCTGACCTGCCAGTCAGACCTCAGAGAAACATAATCCTGTGCTACGTTTCAGCAGCTTGAAGGATGAGCCAGGCTCAGTATGCTCTCCTCTGGTGGAGAAAAAGGTGCCAAGAAGGATGTGCACAATGCAGGGAGCTCATAAAGCCTGCAGGGTGAGGCAGCAGCGAGGTGCATTGCTAGCAACATTCCAGCTGCAGGGAGGTATGTTCTCTTGGCAACCTCATGCATCCCTGGTCCTTTTTGCACAGGGCTCACTGCAGCCTAAGCACTGTTAATTAGGAGCTTACCAACATCCAAAACTATAAAACCAGTATAATCATAGAACCATAGAATCACTGAAGTTGGAAAAAACCTCTAAGGTCATCTGGTCCAACCACTAACCCATTCCCACCGTGCCCACTGACCATGTCCCTCGGTGCCACATCTACACAGCAGTGCTAAGCAGGGGGTGCAACTGTCCTCTTCAACAAGACAGGGTAAAACTCTCACATTCCATTGCTGGACAGGCACTGCAAGTGACTGATGGGCTCCTCAGACTGTCTTGGCACTGCAGTGTCAGACTGGAGCTGTTTTCTTAATAAACTGGACAGTGAAAATCAGGGTCAGATGCTTTAGCCATTGGTAACTGGCTTGAAAATTCAGGCTGCATTTGAGCTCTTTCATTTCCTTCACCCATTAAGAGCTTCTTTCCTCTGAACTATGAAAAAACAAAAAAAAAAAAAGAGAAAAGTGTCTGGCTGTCACTGCTAGCACTGATCTGCTGGATTTAACATTAAATGCCGAGTCTTGAGACTGCTGCTAGGACTCATGAATGTTAAAATCAGTGAACTCTTCCCCCTCTACTACTCAGCAGCCTTCTAGCAAGAGAAGCTACAGTAATGAATTGACAAAAGCCACTGAAGCACTGCCACAACCTCACATCCACAGGCTGTCCTGCTGGTTGGTATAAAGCAGAGATGGAAAGAAGAGAAAGCAGAGCATGCAGAGCAGGGTAAGCTGGGAACCCACGCCCATGCACAACCATCTGCTGGAGGCTAATGCTGCACTGAGTCCCCAGCACCCTCAGCATAGCTTTAGCCTGAGCTCCTACTACATCCCCACAGCTTCCCAACTGCCACTCTCAATGGACTGAGTCTGTGGCCTTAGCACCTCAAAACCCCTGAGTTTGGGGCCAAGAGATACAATTTCCAGCTTTATTTTCAACAGGACCACAACATTTAAGACCATTCAAGCTTTTCATGCGACTCCTGAGCTTGGAATTGAGGAACAACGAGTGCATTTCTCAACAAACACACACTATCAATGCACGAGGTGAGGCTCCCAGCAGCCAGCAGGGCTTTCTCCCAACACATGGCATGCTGCTCTGTCTGGAGCCATCCAGCTTTCCATTGAATTCCCCATGTCACTTGTGATGTGGGCTGGTTTGGATGCAGTCAGCTGTGTTCAGCTAAGATAACCTACTTGTCTGTGCTGCAAACACCCATGCCTGCAAACCTGACCTCTGCTTTTCAAGGCAAATAAAGCTCAGCACTGAAATGACAAGACTGTCCTTTGACACAGCAACACTCAGACATGCCTGCCATGTTTGCGTGGCTCAGAGGAGAGCCGTCCTGCCTCCAAACACAAGGCAGCAGCTGGAAGCAGCAGGCTCCATTGCAGCCCTGGCTGTCGCTGGGGGAAAGGAAGCCAGGAAGAGGGAACTCCCTTGTGATGAGTTAGCTCTGGCTCCCAGCACCAGCAGCATGAGCTGGAACAAGGGAGGCTCCCGTGTAATGAACCTGCTCCGGTTGCCAGCGGTGAGCAAAGGAGCTTGGAATGAGCGACCTCCCTGTGCGATGCGGTAACACCACCTCCTACAGAGGCAGGGCAGGAGACGGCTTCTAGAACGAGCGAGAAATGCCAGGAGGATGCACAGAACGGGGCACTTCCCCGCCAGAGCATGGAGGAGCTCATTAAATCATTACAGAAGGGCGTGCTGCCAAACTGCCCACGGCTCTTTCCTAAACCTGGCCCCACCTCGCAGCCATCCCATAACAGCGGCCCCATCCTGTTCCTGCCCGCCCCAGCCCTGTCTGCCTGTCTGGGCGCGGTACCTGCAGTGAAGATCTGTGCAGCCACGGCCAGGAAAGCATCCGTCACCACCGTCTCCGAGTGCAGCGAGATGTTCAGCTGGCGGGCGATGTTGCGATAGACGTTGGGGCGAATGTATTCCAGCTCGTCCCCTGCAAGCAAGCACTCGGGGTCAGCATGCTGGAATCACGGCTGAGGCCGTCCCTCCATCTGGTGTAAAACAGGCAGCACAGCTCTCAGGGTCACTTAGAAGCAGCCCCAGCACCTCGGTCTTTTGTGCCAGTATCGCCTGCGCCCTCCTTTCCCCACAGTCTGAAAGGAACAAAGCCGGCAGCGAGAAAGAGGCACATACACCTGTGTGAGCTGTTGGAAGGTACACCCTTTCTCAACCTGTACAAAAATGTCATGAGATGAGAGTGACTCAGGCGTGCTGGAGGCTGACAGAAGCCAGGAATCCACCTGGAGCCACACAGCATTGAGCAGAGACTCCCGGCTCAGCTCTTTGTGCACAGAGTGACAGAGCAGAGCTCCTAACCCAACTCCCAGCACTCCATTTGCTTGCCTGGCTTCCCCAGCAATGTTCCTGGCACACACAGGATGTGCTTTCTACCCAGGTTGTTTTTTCCCCAGCTGGGACCCAGTTGGTGGTGTCACGTTAGCTCGAAGATCAAGACAAAAAGAGCAAAAAGAGAACATCCTCCTAGCAGGCCTGTGCTGGAACATGAGCAGCACAGCTTTCCTCTGCAGTCTAACAAGCCATCCTGACCAGTACAATCGTTAACTGCTATCTCTAATTGTTTTACCTCTCATGGATATTTAAGAAGATGCTGTAGGAGTGTTACACGATGTGAGCATGGCATGGGACCAAAGCCTTGTGTGCATGGAGATTCTCACTTGGCCATCTAGATGAATGCTTGTCCTTCTGCATAGGAGGACGCAAGGGAAGAGGAGAGCTGTCACGGCCCCTAGACATCCATAGGGTCACTTGAGCACTCTGACTTGGGTGGGATCCGTAAGAACCATCGAGTCAATATCACTGCAGGGCCAAGGTGGTTTGTCCCAGCCAGAAGCAACCAAGCACCCAGAGGATGACATTAAATGGGAACAAAGGCATCATCCCATCAGGGGTTTGTTAAGCAGCAGCTGCTCAACTTGAATTCATAAAACTATTCCCCAGCACTCAGCATAAGACAAGCAGAGCCCAGCTTCACAGGAGGCCACAAACAAATTCTTCTGGCCCCTTGCGCCTGGTGCATTGTTCCACATGGGCTGAGGAAAGAGGAAACTCTGAGCCTGCATGGCCAGGGCTGATAAGAGGCACCATTCCTTATATCCTCAGCAGCTGCTCTGGCTCTGCAAGGAGCACACAGCCTTGTCCCCAGCCCAGAGGGGTGGCTGGGACATAATTTGGGCTGGGCTCAGTGCCTGCAGCCTGCTCCTGGTGCTGCATCCTCTGGTTCAGGTACACCAGACCTACACCACATGTGGTAGGTTGGTCTGAGATCTCTTGGCCATATCATTGGGTTTTACCACCTCTGACTATCCTACTAAGAAGGACAGCTCCTCCTTCTTGCTGCATGGGAACCAAGCAAGCCATGGCTCTCTCCAAGCAGATTTTGTCAGCCAAGCCTCTCCATCTGGAGGAGAATCAGTGGTAGCAGTGTCACCCAGGAGACGCCTCCAGACACAGGCTGCCACCTGCTCGCCCTTCAGTGTCCTCCTGGCCTCCCACAGAAGATCTGGCTCAACCCCAGGCCAAGAAAAACTGGGGAGACAAAGAGGCAGCCAGGCTGACAGATGGACAAAAACAACAGAAGATTCAGCATACGAGAGAAAACATGTAAAAGAAGAGTAATTTAATAAAAGCCAGCCAAAAGAAAACCATGTATGCCTTAAAAACAAATTTGGGATAACATCCAAAAGAACTAGAAAGAGGAGAAAGTGGGGGAACCAGTCTGGTACTGATTTGGTTGGGCTCAGTTAAAGGTTGCTTCACCAGACTTACTTGAACTTTGGTGTAATTAAATCAGATGCAAATGCCAATGGTAGTTTCCAAGCCAAATGTGAACTGATATTCCAACCTGCAGGCAAAGAGGGATGTTGGAAGCAACCTCCTAGAACCAGAGCGCTGGGATCTAGAGAAGAGTGCTTGACTTGAGCATGCAGGTCAAAGCCTAAAGCCAAAGGTAGGCAATGGGCAGCAGCCAGAGGTTGCACGGGCTGCAAGCACTGCTCCAGAGCTGCTCCCGCAGCCATGTCAAGTGCACAGCTGAGTGCTCTGCCAGGGCAGCCGCTGGGTGCCCACAACTGCCATGACTGAAGAAGTCTCTACTGCTCTGTGCTGCTGGGCACAGATAGCCATCCTTATCGTCCTGCATCACAAGGCTTAGTTTGGTGCAGAGGTCCCTGTATCAATGATTGGTACACTGCCCCAAGCATGGAAGATTCTACAGCTGCCCCAGTGACCAAAAACAGGAAAAGAACTTGCTAAATGATTGGGGTAGGGAAAGGTGAAGAGAGTACACTAACACACTGCCACTGAAAAGCAGTGTTATAAAATCTCTGGTACACACATCTAATCAATTACTCTTAAACATCTCTGCAACCACCTCTGTGAGCTGCTGATGAAGCCCAGGCATGGAGCTGCCAGGATCCCACCTGTGCCTGGAGAACCACAAGCCCCATTCAAAATGCCAAGCTGAGAAAAACTACAGAGAGAAACAAAACTGTCACGCAGATGCAGTTTTACACAGTTTAAACATCATTTGCTGTTGGGTCTCGGAACCACAGTGCTGAGCAATGACCTAAAAGATGAAAGCTGTGCAAGCCAAGGAAGATTCCCAAGCCCAGACCACATGCAGGGACTCACCCAGGCGCAGCAGGATGGCAGACACCTCAGCCAGCTTGCCGCCAGGCATCGGGGTATTGTGCTCAGGTTTGCTCCAGCTGACGCCTGCACGGATCAGCCTCGAGTTGATGTAGTCCCTGCAGAGAGCCTTGGCTTGGGACACAAGCTCCTTGTCAGTGGGAGACCTGTCAAACACCTCCATCACCTCTGCAGCAAAGACGGAGGAGCGGCGCAGCACTTCCATCCTCGCAGCAAAGCCACCCAGCTCCAGGCTGGGCTGAGCCTTAGGGAGGCAGCGATCCACGGGGCTCCGTCACAGCTCTCAGGAGCTGCTCTCCCAAGGACAGTTTTTCATTTTACCTGTTGAATAAGAGCATCTTTAAGTTCTCCAGAACTCCTATTCAGGTATCACGCCTTACAGTTACACTGATGTTGGCAGTATCATATTTGCGAGAGTGGCTGCATCCTCTGCCCTGGCTGCTCTGACCCCACCAGCAGTCTGGCCCACAGCAGTTCCCAGCCACTGAGATGTTTTCCCTTTATCTATTTGCATTCAGCAGTTCCAGTATCGCACTGCAGACAGACTGGATGGTCAGACACGGAAACAATTCAGCAGACAACTTCATCTTGTTTCAATTAAACTGGAAAAAAACCTGAATCCCAAATACCAGCTGCAACAACCTCAGCCAGAGGCAGACATTCCAGCGCAGTGGGGCATGGATCTGTCTGGAGGAATGGCACTAACAGACAGCACAGGAACAGAGGGGCAGGAACATCTGAGATGTCCCAGAGGCCCTTGGCTGTGGTGGAAGACCTGGTCCTTATCACATTCTCAGAGGGGTTTTGGTTCTGCAGCTTTTTCTGTTTTTATAGCAACATATGTACTGCTACTCAAAATGCTTCAGTAACAGCAAAAAAGGAAATCAGATTCTAAAAAAATGTTCCCAGGTGTGAATGGCTATAGAGAAAACACAGAATTTCTACAGCCATGTGAATTCACGTTGGTCTTTCTCACCCAGTGCTGCTCTGGGAAGCACACTCAGACCTAAGGCTCTGCCCAGGTGTCAGCCAATGCATTTCTGAGTCCTCATTGTTGGACAGCTGCTTACAATCAGACTAAACAAAGCCAGTTACTTTTGCTCTTCCCAATGAAAAATATATTTACCCCTCATGTTGCGCTCTGGTTCCCCTCGGTGTCTCCTGACGGGTTGGTTCGGTGCTCCTCCTGCAGAACCGGGTCAGTGGGTGTAGGGTTCCCCACCGTGCCCCCATCCCCACATCCCACTGACAGCCCTGGGCTCGCCGCGCTGCTTTTAAGGGACCCAGAGGCAGAGGAAAGCTTCTAGCTTTAGCCTTGTAAGGAAGATGAAATAACCGGGAGGTGGGGTTGCGGGAGCCGGAGAGCTGCGCTTCCTCCTCCCCTTTCTGTGCTCTTAAGGAGGCTCGCTGCAGAGCCATGTCGAGACTACACTGCTGGAGTGAGCAGGGAGTGCTGGAATGGGAGGGGAAGGCCGTGCTGCAGCCGTCCCCCCGCCCTCAGCTGTGGATTCCTAATAGAGAATCACAGAATCATTAAGGTTGGAGAAGACCCCTGAGATCCCCGAGTCCGACTGCACCTCATGTCACCGTGCCCATTGCCCACGTCCCTCAGTGCCACATCTCCACGGCTCTGTACACCACCACGGATGGTGGCCCCCACCTCCCTGTGCAGCTGTGCAGTGCCTCGCTGCTCTGTCTGAGCAGAAAAGAAATTCTACCAGCCCAAGAAAGAAGAATCTGAGTAAGCTGCATCCTTTCCAACAGGAGCTGCCCATCCCTGACCCATTCCTTCCCTGCAGAATGCACTCTGTGGCCTCCTGAACAACCATATTTCTGCCTTTGCAACTCTCATGGCCAAACAATCATTAAAAATGTGGCCTAAGCTACAGCAGCTGACAGCTTGAAACAGAAGTTCTGTTTAAACTGCTCCTATTCAGTAGAGCCCTGAAACAAAGATGAGGGCTTAAATATCAGTATTGCTTAACTAATGATCATGTTTGTCAGAATTCTGGCAGGCGTGCAGGTGCCACAGACCTTCCCTGCTCTCCTGGGTGCCAATCCCACCCCACATGTTCCCTGCCTGCTGTCACACCAAAAGATGCCTCTTTAGATGGTAGTACATGAAAGAAAGCTCAGCACACAGCACTGAGCCAGCCATGCAGGAACAATGCTGCAGCCCAGGGAGCTGCTGGTGTCTGCTGAGCTCCTTTGTCCATAACACATTCAGGCTACAACATTTAGAGGCTAAACCTATACTGGGGATCCCTCGTGGCAAAGGACTACCAGAAAACGGCACTGAAACACTTGTCTCACCCCAAAACATTGTTCCCATTGTAGGTATCCGTGGCATGGCAGTGTTTTGGCTCCAGCAGGCTCTAAATTACAACACCTGCCTATCTATCTCAGATGGGGACGATCAGAAAAGCTTGGAGCACTCACTTCCTAAAATAAGAGCCAAAAAACCCCAACAAAACAGGACTACACCTCATAAACAGGGCTGCTCTGGCAGAGCACCAGCACCATAATGGTCCTCAGCCTTCCACCATGCCACCCTGACCCTCTTGCATCACCTCAGCCATTCTGTCTTTCCCCACTGCCTTTCCTGGTCCATTTAGGCAGCAGCTCTTGGGTTGTGTTGGCAAGGGATCCTTTACTGCTGTGAGTGCCCATGGGGTCATGCTACAGGTTCAAAGCCATTGGGGCACTAACAGGAGGATCAGCAAGATGAGAAGAAACAGCACTTTTCCTACAGAAACATCTTGCCAGCTCCAACAGAAAAACAATACATGGAAGTAGCAGCATAATGGGACCCAAGCAGAACACAGAGGGTTTTTGAACTTTCCCCTTAATTCTGAAGGGCTCAGTTCAGAGCCTCATGGAACCCAGGCAGTTACTTGCAGTATTCTGTGTAGGAGATTGCCCCGAGCACCTCTCCTGAGCAGCATCTTGCAGTGCTGTGTTCTGTAGCAGAACAAAGGGGCTGCGTTGCAGGCAACGTTACCTTCCACAGCCTCCAGATGGTTCACCTTCTCAAGTACACAGGTCTGGTGGTTTACACTCATCAGGATTAGTAAGCAATCCATTACTTAGGGATCCGACAGATTATCACTAACACCAATGTTTTCTTCTCTTAGCTGTCATGCTCACTGCTGGTGTTTGCAGGCACAAGTCTCCTGTTACAAACATGCCTATATACGCACATATGTAGATACACATATACAAAGACATGCTGTACTCCAGGACTGGGGTACAACCCCATGGAAGGGAAACTGGAATGAACTTCCTATTACTAAGCAGTGCTATGAGCTGAATCCTCATCATCTCCACCCTTATTCCCAAATTTGATTTCCCATGAAGAGCACAACCATTGCCACTCAGGTATCAAGCCACAGTAAAAGAGCAGCTCCAAGCTGTGATTTGATAGACAAAACTTCATTTCTTAGCACAAACAACATATTTACATATTGTACCACTAAAATAGAAAAAGCAAAAGTACAGCATGAGGTCAACATCCCCAAGAGAGCAAAGAGGATTCTCCCCTTTCAGTCCCTAAGGCACAAGGGCAGAGGATGAGCCTTGGCATCACTGCAGCAACCGATCAATCCCCAGGATGGGAACCAGGTCCCACACCTCCATGCAGGGATGCTCTCACAGGTGCAGACAGGTGAAGGCAGGCAGATGCCTCTGCCTGCACTGACCCTGACATCTCAGGAGCCCAAATGGGTGCTGTACTGGCTTGGCAGCATTTATGAGCTCTGATGCATTGATGTGCAGCCTAGAAACATGTGCCGGGGCACAGCAGTGTCCTACACAGGCAGATGGATTGCTGGAGCTGATAACAAGGAAGGAGTCTGCCTTGCACATGTTTGCATGTCCTAAACATGCCCTGAAGTATTTCTGCACATTCAGGACACAGCTCTGCATTTATCTTAAGCCCTTGGTGACTTCTGGAAAGGCTCAGCCTCTAGAGCTGGGCAGGGCAGCAGAAGGAAACCCTGTCAGCTTTGCCATCAGACAAGTGTCCATGAAGCCACAGCCTACTGTCACCTCTGCATACAGAAGTGCAGCTGCAGTGATTTGGAATTGCGTGGTGCATTGCACAAGGCAGATGGATGCTGCCAGCAGGTAATCACCAGAGCCTTGTGCAAGAGCAGAGACAGCTCACCAAGTGCAGCTTTCCCAGTGCTCCCACAATTACAGCCTTCACGAGTTGTGATGGGAGAGTCTCACTGAACAAAAACAAAGAGACTACAACTTCTTGTTACCTGACACTGAGCTATCCTGATCGGTTCTGGAGAACAGGCAGGACAAAGCTGCCCCTCCTTCTACCAGAAGGGTGAGTGCCCAAAGCAAGGTTAGTTACATCTGTTGGCTTTGAACTCCAGAATTTCCCCTACTTGGACTTGGAAAGCTTTGGGCCGGAGCGTTTACCTGATTCTGAAAGGCAAGAAAGGAAATTTGAACATAATTTTGAGGAGCCCCAGCACTACCTTCAATGGGCTCCACAGCACGGCCCTCACTTTTCCAGGCTCACTGCAAGAGCTGCTGCTGGTCCGGGGCCACCCGCCTGAGTGCTGCCACGTATCAACAGCTGGCACTGCATGTTGGAATGCCAGCAAACTGCTGGCCAGGTGCTCAGAGCCAACGATGCTCAGGGTGGGCCCACTTCAGACAAAGCATTTGAGTCAATTTTAATCATATTTCAGAATCAGCAAGCAGGAAATCTTGTTTGAGGTCACCGATTTTAATCTGTTTTTGCATTTGTTTCTCGGGTAGGGTGAGTCTCAGTTGGAATTAAGACCTGTTTACTTGCAAGTAAGCACAGCTCAGTGCTACATTTCCCCTCTTGGCTAAAAAGGAGGAAAATTATGTACTAAAGCAATTCTATAGCTGAAACAAATGAGAAATCTGAACATATTGCAGGTGCTAAGCATTCTGTGTTCTGCTTAGCAGGTTATTCATGTCACTTGGTGTATGCCCTCCTGAAGAGTGATCCAAATGCAATTAGAGATAAATAGAAACAAATGATGTCTTTATGTGCTAAATTAAAAGAGCAAACGTGAAAAGGCTGTTAGAATTCATAAAGCACCTGAGACAAAACAAAACAAAAGAAAAAGAACATGCTTGATACAGCTACCGAATTGAGTCAACTGCTGAAATGAATAAGCAACTTCTGACACCAATGGCCTTTTTCACGGTCCCAGAACCCCAGCCAGCTCAAACCTGAAGTCTTCAGTACACAAGAGGTCAATCAGTTAAACTAGAATTAGGGGAAGCTTTTCCAAGGAATGAAGAAATATGTAAAACTGTGGTTCTGGGGGAGGGAGGTTTCTCATTCAAGTCACTGCTTTCTGCTGAAGCAAGCAGAGCAATTTTCAGACCCAACAAATGCTTCAGTATAGAACCATAGAATCAAATCATACAATCATGAAGACTGGAAAAGACCACCAAGATCACCAGGTCCCACCACCAACCCATCAGCCATGCCCAAGAAGCTGCAAGCAAATGGTTATTTGTTCTGCAGGAGGGGCAGCGCTGCTTAACATCATCCCTCGTGGTGAAGGCAATTTGAAAGAAGCCACAAACAGTCAGGTCACACACTGGATTGTATCAGAGAGCAGCAAGCTGTGTTTGCCTGCCCCAGGAGGGAGCACAGCCAGCTGCATGGCTTCCCACTGCAGCTGCAGCAGCTAGCATATCTCCTCTTGCAGGTCTCTGCAGACAAACAGGCAGGCTGACAGACAGGCTCTGTGCAGCCCTGCATGCTTCCTGTTGAACATCTGTGGTTTAAGGGACAGAGGTGCCCCTCTACCAGAAGTGACAACACAGGGTAGATGTTCAGCGTGAGTCATTTAACAGGCAGAGCTTCTTAATTTAAAAGAAGTGGGAAATGCTTACCTTCAGTTTTGAGAGAGAGATCAGCTTCACGCAGACCTGCACAGCATCTGTGCGAGTTTCTCCTGCGCATTCCAAAAGCAACTCCATACCCAAGGTCTGCTTTCTCATGTCCTGGTAATCACAGACCAGGATAGAACCAACACACTGCCATGTTTCTTGCTGGCACTAACATATGTCTGGTGTTTTGATTGGAAAAATATATGTTTGGGATTGAAGAATTTCATTTCTAGAAGGAGCCACGAGATCAGATCACTGCAGTGCGTGAGACCGATTCACTAATCTGCCTGAATTATCACTTAGCCTTGCAGAAATTAACGTCACAGAGCTGCCAATGGTTTTTTTGGTCCAGCAAAGGACAGAATTTTGATGCTGGCATCAAGCCCCACATCAGAAAGATGCATAAAGGAGTAAGTAGCTTTGCAGCTTCTTATTACACAAGACACAAAAGTCTTCTCAGAATCCTCGTCTGAGAAACAGTGCCCCCAAACAATTCATTTTGTGAATCATTCTGTTTAAAAATGTTGCTGGACAAATGCAAGAAAAGGAGTCTCCCCTTAACAAAGCATGGACTGCTAGGTTTTCCTGGCACAAAGGGTCTCAGACACGCACCATGAGAGCTCATTTCTCAGAATATGTATCTCCAAGTAATCGGTTTCATGTAGTGTTATATTTTAGTCTAACGGCATGAAAAGCATGGAGGTTTCACAGAGGAAACCTCCTGAACTCAGAAGGGGTCAGAAGCATCTCAGGAGAGTGAGTGGGGCTGTCATCTGGACTGCAAAGATCTTTGTGAACACAAACATGAGTACAGTGTGGTTCTATCAGAATTAGAGCTGCATGCTCTGCCCCTGGTTGGCCCATCTGCACAGGCAGTGGCAGGCAATTATCGCACATTTCTTTCCTGATTCTGGCTATTGCCATCTTTTTCTCCTCATTTTCTGCAGTGAACAACTCCAAATGGATTCCTCCATATCCAGTTTAAAAGCAGGCAGGGAATGAAAGCACGATGTCACGCTGTTGGTTCCAGCAGAGCACTCTGTTCTGTTTCAAAGAGTAGACACACTAATTTCCATAGCTGTGCTGTGGCTCCAGACAAGGCTGTCTCTTCGAGTGCTCAGTGAGTGCCAGCTCTGTCCCCAGGTGCTGGCTGCTGCGCAGCTCATGCCCCATCACTGGCTCCCATCATTCACTTTGTTAAACAGGGATGCTCTGGGGTCTCCTGCTATCAGCACAGGACTCCCAGGGCAGTCCGAAGGGACCAGCTGGGAAGGCAAAGCATCCCTGCAGATCCATTCCTGCCTAAGCAGAGAGCCAACGTCTGTGAGGGTTTAGGATTCAGCTTCATCAGCTGTTTTCTGCCGCTGCACAGGAACATGGTTTGGAAGAACAAGTACTCAGTGCTCTCAGCTTGGAAGCAGCCTGGCTTAATTTGAGGATTAGTCATTGGGAGAGAAAAGATGCTCAGCCAACCCAGGAGTCAGCTCCACTTGGAGCTTTACAGCTGCAAGAGCCACTCCTGCTTATTCCACTTTACCAGCAGCACTGGGAGATAAAGGCCCTTTTCTTTGCTGAACACTCAAAACAGTCTTAAGAGCCACGATATCAGCAGGAAAAGAGAGCCTCAGTATTGCAAGACTTGTAGTGAGAGAGTCTGCAGGAACAAGAGTGCTGGAGCTCAAGCAGCCCGCTGCAGCTTCCATACAGCTGGGGGCTCTAGAAGGGGAACCATAAGAGCAAGCGGGCTTCTACAGCACTCGCTCAGTGTGTTCTGTCTTGGTAGGTAGGCACAGGTTCCTCTTAAAAGTTGTCCTCGCATCTCCTATAAGGAGCAAGGTTTAAGGCCTGGAGAAGTTCACAGCTGCCATCACTCAGCAGTCACCTCATGCCTAGCAGTGCCTGGCAGGTGGGGTGGAGCTCATCAGCCCTATGCCTCGCACTGAACGAGCACTTGAGGTTTGGAGAACTCTATTCTAATACTTTGCTTTGCTAAATCCACATAAGGCACTCGCTGCTTCAGTTCAAAACTTTCACCATAAAGAAGGCCGACGGGGAAGAACATCCCATTTAACACTGTCAGCATAGCTTGCAAGTTGAGGCAGAGGCTGTTTTGGCACAGCCTAGCATCTGCTGAACAGAAGCTCAGTGGCCCAGTCTAGACAGCAGCCGTAAACCACAGCGAGGAGGAAACCTGCTGGCAAAGCCCGGTTCTTGCTTCCTCCATACAAGTGCATTCTTCCCGCAGTTTGGAAGCTGCTCCTGGGAGGTGATAAATTCAATGTGTTTCTCCTTTCCTTCTCTAGTTTTGCTGCTTAACTGCCTTCCACAGGCACAGCGCTGTTCTGCACCGCTCACTCCAGCAGCTCAGCGCAGAAGAGCACTTCAGCCCGTCGGTGTGCCGATGCCGGAGCTCCTCTTTGGACCGAGCTGTTCCTCACCCAGCACCACGGAGCCCAGCAGGGCCGCGTGCCGCTCCAGAGGCACAGGGCTGCAATCCGTGGTCGCCACCTGGTGGCAGCGACACAAAACAAAGCGGGCTCGCTCCACAAACCCGCTCGCCAGCCCCGATCGCTCCCAGAGGCGGCGATTTGCCGGGCAGGGGCGCTTCTTAAGGCACTTCACGAGGGCTCGCCTTAAACGAAACCAACACAAGGCGTTAAGCACCGCTCCCTGCCGCCGTAACCCCAGCACCGCAGCGCACAGCCGGCGCCGCGCAGTGCCACGGGAGCCGTAGTCCGCGCCTCCGCTTCCCCTCAGCCGCTCCGCCCGCCCCGCGCGCGGCTCGCCGGGACACGCGGTCCGTACGGGCGGCACCCGGGCGGCGCGGGGCGGGGCGGGAACTACAGCTCCCAGCAGGCGGCGCGGCGCGGCCTCCCCTCCCGCTTCCACTCGGCGCCGCGTCGTCGCTCCCGGCGCCGCGGCCGAGCTCGGTGTCCCAGGGCGGGCGGCGGCTCCGCGCGCCGGGTCCCGGCATGGCGCCGCACAGCGCTCCGCCGGGGGGACGAGGGCCGTAGGTGGGGGACGCGGAGGGACCGGGGGGGCGGAGCGGGGATCGCGGGGCCGCGCGGGCGAGACGGGTCCGTGCACAGCCGCTGTGTTGTCTCCCGCAGCTGAGCGCCGGCCGAGGAGCGCCGCCCGCGCGGCCCCGAGGATCGCGCAGGCATGGCTCACCTGAGGGACTTCGCCAGCCAGGTAAGGGCCGCCCGCCGCCGGCAGTCGCGGCTCGGCTCGCAGCCCGCGGAGCCGCGCTTTGTTCGCTGGCAGCTGTCGCCCCGGCCTTCGGCTGAGGCGGCCTGGGCACGCCGCGCCGAAACCCGGCGGAGCGGGCTCTGTACGCTCGGTGCGCCGCGGGGTCACAGCGATGGATGTGCTGCTGCGGCTTCGGCATCCTAAGGGCTTCTCCGGCCTCAGCGATCCCGTGTGACGCTGAGCGCTGGGGTGTCCTACCCCTCGGGGGCTGTAAGTACGTCCTGCTGTCGTGATGGCATGAGATGATGTCGTGACTCGGGGCTAAAAGCACGTGAGCGGTATCAGCTTGGATCATCCTTCTTCTGAGCTTGGCTGCTGGTATGTTTGGTGGTTGGCAGGTGTTAGCGCTGAGTGCAGATCTCTGGGGAGAAATCTGGGTGTTCCTCTTTACATAGAGTCAGAAGAGCCCCTTAAAGGCATCTGGTCCAACCTCTGCACTGAGCAGGGACACCCACAGCTCCATCAGGTGCTCAGACCCCATCCATCCTGACCTCGGGTGTCTGCAGAGATGGGGCAGCACCACCAATCTGGGCATCCTGTGCCACTGCTTCGCTGCTCTTAATGTAAGAAATTTCTTCCTTCTGTGATCAATATCCAGTTTGAGTCTTTCCTCTTCTGGTTTGAAACCGTTTCCCCTTGTCCTGTCACAGCAGACCCTGCTGAAGTGAAGTCTGTCTCCTTCCTTCTTAACAGCCCTTCTTCAGGTCTCTCTGGAGCCTTTTCACAGAATCACAGAATGGCCTGAGTTGAAAAGGACCACAGTGATCACCTATTTTCAAACCCCCTGCCACAGGGAGGGTCACCAACCACCACCAGACCAGGCTGCCCAGAGTCCTTTCCACTTATAGTTGTAGTACTACAGCACTAAAAGCTTCAGCAGTTTGAGATGATGCTTCCTCCAAACCCCTTCTGGTTTAAAATTGATTTGCAATGCATCTTGGTTTGCATGCTGCCTTTCACATACACTGTTTCCTCAAAGCACTGGTGGAATTAAATGCAAATTTAGTGCCTCAGTGTGTCACAGTACAGGGAGAGAAATGAGAGAAGGAAGGATTCTGTCTGCTCAAGGCAGGGAGCTGAGCTCTGTTGGTGCAGAGTGGTTGCTCTGAAGCTTTTTTGTAGACAGCGTTCAACAATAGAGACTATTAAAAGTTCTGGTTATCTAACCTGTAAATTAGGCAAACGTCAGGTGTCTTAAGAGATTGTCATACTGTGCTAACTCCAGAGCTCAAATAGGAAAGCAGTGTGTGTTACCTGTTCCTTCCTTGGGTCTCTTCTAGAATCCTTGGTGGCACCTTATACTCTGTTTAATTGGGGCTTCCTGGAACAGCAGTGAGAATTGGCTTAAAGTTCTGTGTAATTGTACAGATCAGTACAATGGGAAAGGCATTACAACAAAGGTGTGACGATGGAAGGACCAGCACAATAGAGAGCTGCTATAAAGGAAGGGCAGAAGATTGTTGGTTTACAGAGGAAAGCTTCACCAAGGAGGAATCTCCAGAGAGATCCTTCCCCAATGGCAGTCAGCCCTTAAATGAGGTCTAAGAGAGGTGCAGCCAGGCTCCACCTGTTCCAGTCACACAGCTGAATTGCCTTCACCTGTGCTCCCAGGGCTGATCAGCTCCTTTCCCGGGTGCTCGGTCAGTGCTTCAGGCTGGGACTCAGCAGTTCCCATATATTCTGCTAGCCAAGTCTTAAGCACTGGTGAGGAGGTGCTGTAAAAATAGAGAGACTATAGGACTTGGATTGGGATGTCAGGGTCTTGATTTGTCCTTATTCCTTATCTGTTGCTGATGTGCTGGGTTACCTTAGGCAGATCCCTAAGCTGCTTTATCTCAGTGCTGCTCCCTCCCTGCCCAGGCCAGCTGGGTGCTCTCTTCTCTAGGTTGACCTTTGCTGTGTACACACTGCAGTGGGCCTCTGTTGGGAGCTCTACCCTCTCGATGATGTATTTGCACTGCAGTCTTTAAAGCTCCAAATCCAGCTTGTTTCCAGTTCTGTTGTTCCTTTAAGTGACCTTGAGAAACTCTCAAGTTCTTTAGCTAATACTTTCTTACCTTGAAGCAAAACAGTGCTATCAGTGAAGCAAGTTGGGAGTCTCAGACAATAGATTATGTATGTGTTTCATATTTGAGGTTCAAAGTGTTGAGAATTTCTCTCTTATGCTCCTGAAGCTGGAAACTGTCTCGGGTTCAGCAGCTGACCGTGCTGTCGTTTCACAGACAGGGAAGTTTCAAAGAGATTAGATCCCAGATGGCACATTACTGGTGGATCATCCTCGTCCTTCTCACACTTGTTTTCTTTCTGTGTGTACAAACAAGATAGTGCTCTGTGTGCTGCCCAACTCTGAGCCATCTCTAGTCTGAATGCACTCAGTGGGGAGAAACAGCACGAGGCCTTCTGCTCCAGAACTGTGATGTAACACAAGCAGTCAGACAAAAGGTGAGCAGTGAAGTGCTCATCCCTTGAAGGCTTATACATTGCAGCACAACAAGGGGAGCAGTCAGCTCTTCTGGCAGTGACCCAGAGCTCTGCTCTGCAGCCCTGGTGGGGTCTGTGAATATCTAAGAAAATGGGAAGATCTCGAGCTGGCCAAGAGTTGCAAAGCTGAGAGGTGCTAATGATGTGCTTTGGGTTATCTGTGACTGTTTGTACAGGTGTGAGTTATTTCATCTGGCTTCTTGCATTTCTACTAATAAAGTTTGTAGCTTTGCAGGGCAGTTCTCTGACAAAAAGACTGGTGCTGAGATCAGTGGGTATTTAGAAAAGGGACAGATTCTGCTTTTTATGACCCCTCATTGCAGTGCTCCACATGAACAGATTTATTGGTGCAGGAGCGAGTCAGGTTACATAAAATGTGTTATTCTATTCCCCTACATCCTGCTGCAGTGTGGCACAGGGCATACTCTCACCCTGTCACCTAAGAGCTTTGAAGCATTTCCAAATCAGTTTTGAAGTGCAAGCTACAACAAGGTAAATCTAGCACCTGCAATTGAATAGTTCTGGCCTCATTCCTTCTTCTCACTCAACAGGATTTCCAGGTGCATTCCAGTCAAAAATACAGAAGGGTAACCAAATATCAGAGTTGTATTACTTTCTTGAGTTCCTTGGGCAAAGTTTTCTTGTGCTTGTCATGGTCTGTCTTCTCTACCACCCCTGAGCTGCTTTGTTCCTCAAAAAGCACGATACACCTACCTCAAAGTATAGACGCTTGTTCAGGAAGCTGTGATGACAGAGCCTGCAACACAAACTGCTGGCTGTCCCAGAAGCTGCCTGAAGCAACCAGTGCTCTGCTGTTGTCCCATTCTTGAAGAGTTTCAGCCCCAATTCCTCAATGTGCCACACAAGGCTGAGAAGGGAAGCAGTAGCTCATCCCTTGTCCTTTGTTTTCTCATGGAAAAAATGATCCAGGTAGGAGGAGAGGGAGGTTTCCTTGCAGTCTTGCTGCCCTGCAGAATGTGTGCTGAGCCAGGTGCTGCTCAGAGATGGTTCTCTTTCTCTCCTTGGTGGCTGGCTGGTGGGATGAATGATGTTCCTCCTGTGCAGCAGGTGACTGCGTGAGGCAGTGCCTGGGCCACTTTGCTGCCCCTTCTTGTTAAAGAGGCCAACAGGTGGGAACTGCATGTAGTCAAGCTGTTCCTCCTGCACCACAGCTGTTGTTCTTGTGCTGGTTTCTGACACTTCTCAAGCTCAGATCTTCCTTTCCTTCACTCTCTCCACTCTGTTATGTATCTCCATCTCATTTCCTCACTGCCTATCCCCTGCAGTCTGCTCCCAGTGCGTTTGTTCAAATACAGCCTGTTTGGGTGTAGCCATGGATGCAGAAGGATATTTGGTTATCCATCTGTATCTTGGACTGGAATGCATGTGGAAATACTGTTGAGTGAGCTGACTGTGAAGCTTACTCCCTGCAGCAATGTACTGGGTGCAGAAGGCAAACAACATGTAATGACTGCTTGGTTAATCAGTAAGGAGCACCCAGGGATGCTGCTAAACCTGGTGCTAGTTGCAAAAACACCACTGCCTCGTGCTCAGATAAAATCTCTGCCCAGCTCAAAGTCCTTGCATGGGAGTGGTCCCTTTGGGTGACGTGTGAGGTGAGACTGAGAAGTTCTGGGTGTGGAGAACTCCCTGTAACCACTTGTCTGCTTCCTGTAGGTCAAGCTGTATTTGCCAGATTTTTTTCTTTTTGTTTAAACTAGACCTTTT